AGGGAGGGAGGGAGGGAGGGAGGGAAAGGAGCCAGGCCACGGGGACACCCCATGCCGGCCGTGGTACTCACTGGAGGGCACTGTGCCAGTTTATCTGATGCCACCATCTGCACATTCAGATGCTTTGCCTGGGATTTGCCTCTTGACTTCACCAGTCGCTGCAGCACCTGTTGGGGAAGGGAGAAGGAAGAAGTTAAACCCCCCCGGGAGGGAATAAACTGGAACCAGAACAGACTGGGAAAGAGGAGGATGTCGCCCCCCGGGCAGTGGCAAGGTGCGCCTCCCTTGACAAGGCAAGGCCCGGAAGTAGTCTGAAACCTTGTGCGCACTCACCTGGGAGGAAGCCCCACTGAACACAGTGGGACTTGCTTCCAAGTAAAGGCACACAGGATCAGGTGGCACACACACCGCAGAGCTGAACTGTGACAACAGCACACTGGCAGAGCACACGCTGGCCACGTTCAGTGCTCCCGACATCCCCAGGTAAAAGGATCTCAGTCAGCAGGGCTGGAAAAACAAACTCTGCCCGAGAGCTTGGAAAGCCCCTGCCGGCCAGGGGAGGCAGCTCCGGGTTCGACCGACCAGTGCTTGATGTTAGTATAGGACAGCTCCTTATTCCATCCTTCTGCTTTGGAACTGGAGGGCTGTAGAACACCACCAGGGGCAGATGTCTCTGAGTTAAGGGCAAGCCACAGGACAGTGTCCAGCTCCAAACACAGTTCTGCCCAAGCGGAGAATTACGACTTCCAGTACAATTTTTTTAGCACTCAGGATCATAGGGTGAAAACATATGAATGGTCAACAGAAGAGTAACCCCAAGTAAGGCATGATCTCATTTTAAAATTTTATTTTCTGCTCAAGGATATCGCTATATGAGCAGTACTAGATAGATAGATAGATAGATAGATAGATAGATAGATAGATAGACAGATAGATAGATAGACAGACAGACAGACAGACAGACAGACAGACAGACAGACAGACAGACAGACAGACAGACAGACAGACAGACAGACAGACAGACAGACAGACAGACAGACAGACAGACAGACAGACAGACAGACAGACAGACAGACAGACAGACAGACAGACAGACAGACAGACAGACAGACAGACAGACAGACAGACAGACAGACAGACAGACAGACAGACAGACAGACAGACAGCATATGAATCGTGCCCACTGAAAACTGGAAAATGGAAACATTTCTGGTGATTGAAAATTCTGCTCTTGTGTTACGGTCCTCCATTCCAGTCCCACACTGCCCCACACCATTTGCTAAAGTAAAGTAAAAGGTAAAGGTTTCCTTTGCTCGAAAGCGAGCCGAATCCAATTCCAGGGATGCGATGCTCATCTCCATTTCCAAGCCGAAGAACCAGCGCTGTCCGAAGACGTTTCCATGGTCATGTGGCCGGCATGACTAGACGCCAAGGCACACGGAATGCTGTTACCTTCCCACCGAAGCGGTACCTGCTTATCTACTTGCAATTTCTTGCTTTCGAATTGCCAGGTTGGCAGGAGCTGGAACCAGAGACAGGAGCTCACTCCATTACGTGGCACTCAGGTCTCAAACTGCTGAACTACTGACCTTCCGGTGTGCAGTTCAGCGTCTTAACCACTTGAGCCACCACAGCCACCATTAGCTAGCAGGCAGAAAAGTTCAAATTTAAAAAAAAACCTAGAAACAACACTGCAGGCAAAGGAAGGATTTCTGAAGACCCGCCCATCCAGATTTTGCATGATGTTTCCTATCCTCTGACTGAGAGGTGGGAGCCATCTGTTATGCTTCACAGATATGCACTCTTTGGAAGTTAGCAGGAAGGCACCAAACTAAATTTTATTCAGAAAAAACAACAACCCTGACCCGGATAGTCCACGTCAGCCCAATCTCCTCAGGCCCAGATCAAGATGGGCAGCTGTTATCTTCTGTCTCTAGCAGTAAAAAAAGACCAAGAGTCCAGCAGCACCTTAAAGACTAACAAAATTTGTGGCAGGGGAGGAGCTTTTGAGAGTTGGACCATAAGGAAGGCGGAGCCCTGAAGAATAGATGCTTTTGAACTATGGTCCTGCAGAAGATTCTTGAGAGTCCCTTGGACTGCAAGGAGATCAAATCAGTCAATCCTAAAAGAAATCAACCCTGACTGTTCCGTGGAAGGCCAGATACTGACGCTGAAGCTCAAAGACTTTGGCCACCGAATGAGAAAGGAGCACTCACTGGAGAAGACCCTGATGCTGGGAAAGATTGAAGGTCAAAAAAGACGGAGACGGCAAAGGATGAGATGGTTAGACAGTGTCATAGATGCAACCAACATGAAATTGAGCAAACTTCAGAGCACAACGGAAGACAGGAGGGCCTGGCGTGATCTGGTCCATGGGGTCGCAAAGAGTCGGACTCGACTGTGTGACTGAACAACAAAAATGAGCTTTTGTGAGTCACTTCCGAAGAAGTGAGCAGTGACTCATGGAAGCTCATAAAAAAGGTAAAGGTTCCCTTGCTCGAAAGCCAGTCGAGTCCGACTCTAGGGTTGTGGTGCTCATCTCCGCTTCCAAGCCGAAGAGCCAGCGCTGTCCGAAGATGTTTCCGTGGTCATGTGGCCGGCATGACTAAACACCGAGGCGCACGGAACACTGTTACCTTCCCACTGAAGCGGTACCTATTGATCTACTTGCAAGTTCTTGCTTTCGAACTGCTAGGTTGGCAGGATCGCTTTTCTTGGTATCTCCCAATTAATTTTGGGTGGGACTGCTGTCAAAGACAGCAACAAGACGACTCCTTGTGCACCAGACACTCTAGCTCTTCTCTGGACGGAGGGCTAAACCAGACATTGGTGTTCCTTGATGAGATCTCTCTCCTGTCACACTGCTCTAAAGAGCAGCCCCGAAAGACCAGGGAATGTCACACATCATTTCCCATTATTTTTAAATTTTTTAAAATTTATTATTAGATTTATAGCCCTCCCTCCCCGCAAGCGTAAATCAGCCTTCTGGTGGCACAATTTGTTCAACAGAGAAAACAGATTAGAAGGGGGAACAGCCAGTTATAGAGGCAGGTCTCTCTTCAATCTCTCCCCCTCCTTCTGACTTTCTTGAACTCTCTAACCGGACTGCTGAGCGTCAGGGAAATGAAAGTAATAAAACGAGCGTTAGTTCAGAAGTCAATATTTCCATTTGATGTAATGGACATAAATCAATGTAATTTAACTGGGCATTTTTTTTTGTTCATTTCTTTTCATTGGCTCACAAACAAACACATCCTTAATAGCTTTCCCCTCCCTGCCAAGAGGAACCACCAGTTGTCGTGGGAGTCATACGTTAACTATGGCCTTCTGATAACTGTGGCATTTCCAGCATGTGCCTTACCCCTCTCATCCACACTGGATTCCGTAGAATCCTTAAAGTTTGACCAGAAATATATTTATTGAACATGTTACCAGACACAATAAAAGGTCATAAACGTATAATTTGTTATATCTTAACAGCAGCTAGGATACTAGTAGCAAGGCGCTGGAAAACGAAGGAACTTAAACATAAAATCCTGGAAATTGCAGAAATGGATAGATTGAACATGGAACTACAAGATAATATATGACTGGCTAAAGATGAAAAAGATAGAATAGAATCGAAAATAGGCTAGTGGAAAATAAAAGAAATTGTAATAGAAAATAGATGACTGTGTTAACAAAGACTGGATGAAGAAGTAATTGAAGTGAAATCAGTCTAGTTTAAAATAGACTAAGGTAGAAAGTGTCAAAGACAGGAGTGGATTTGTTATGTTATGTTAAAACTAAGAATGAAACGAATATATGCTTATATGTTAAAAATGTGAATGAAGCGAATATATGTTTATATGTTAAAACTAAGGAAAATAATTTTTTTAAAAAAAATAATACCAAAATCCTACGGTCCCTTTAAAATTTATCCCAAATCCAACTGGAAGGCAGTGTGAACAGCAGAGGGCACTCGCTCACCTTGGGGGAAGAGATCTTGATGTAGACAATTATGGGTGCCAGCGACGTCTTGGACAGTTGAGCTGGGTGGTTGATGGTGTCAGCATCCAGGGCTACCAGCTGCAGCGTGCGGGCCAACTCAAAGATGCGCTCAATTTCACTTTGCACTTCAGCTGGCCGGGCGGGAAGCAGACCACAGGGAAGGGAGAGACAGGGTCAGTGCTGCTACAGAAAGGAGTCACATGCTCTTTGCTGTTCTAGACTCTGCTCACCATCATGGGACCTCACTTCTGCACTCAAGAACTGACCCGTGGTGACTGACTCTGGTTCTCCTCAGTTGCAGGCTGAGTACAAAGCTGCAGCTATCCCTCACGACAGGTATGGGAACTAGGACCCATGTTCCCTCTAAGCTGTGGAGTTTTGTGAGCAAAAATTCTACTTTGTGAGCTACTGGCATTAAAGTTGTGAGCGAGCGATTCGGCTACTGCATAAATCAGTTTGCTCTGGAGCCCTCCTTCCTGTGATAAGACAAAAATGTGTGAGCCGGAGGCTCAAAAACCGTGAACTAGCTCACACTAACTCAGCTTAGAGGGAACACTGACTAGGACAGATGCTGCATTTGGAAAGGATGCGCTAGCCAACTCTTTCTGGCCTGTGTGTTAACAGCTGTTCTTCTCGTTTCCAGACACTCTGCTATCAGCCCAACCCAGAGACCTGCATTTGCCAAAGGCAACACTACCACAAGGCAAATTGAGGCAGCTGCAGGAAGCAGCGGACGGGGAACGCTGTTAAAGGAGACAAACGGGGAGACAGGCCGGTTCCACCCATGGGCTGTAATCCACCAGGAAGTTCTCATGGGCAGCTGCTACAGAAATGAACCGGGACTACTCAAGAGCATGCCGCCGCTGCTTGGTAGCTTCAGTGGGTCTTGCGCACAGGAACTTCCGGAGGGATGGTGCTCCATGCTCATTAGTGGGAGGAAGGGAAGAGGAGGAAGGATGTTATTTGGATTGTATGTCCCATGCACCAAAATGTCTTGGGTTGGCCTTTGTTGTTGTTGTTCAGTCGCACAGTTGAGTCCGACTCTTCGCGACCCCATGGACCAGCTCCCGCCAGGTCTTCCGGTCAAGGGCTGGCCTTAGAGATGTAAAATTTCTGGACATTTTGAAGCTCGGAAAACCCCCCCCCCCGGTTTTTTTTCCATTTTTTTCCGGAAAAAAATGGAAATTTTCGGAAAAATTGAAAAAATGCTATATTAGCATTTCTTTTGTCTTTTCTAGATTGAAAGTCATTCTGTTACTTTAGGAACATAAAATATGACTATGGACATTTTTACTTGGCATGAAATTATCACAACTAGCATATTAAAAATATAGTGTATCCAAACAATTATTACAAACAGAATACCCACCCACATGCAAAAACAAAACTGAAACCTTTTTATTTTCTTCTGACAATAGCACCTCTTAAAGGAAGAAATGCATCTTGTTCTTGCATTGGAGAGTTCAGTTTGTAACCTAGGACTTGCTTGTCCTCAGTGAACAGAAATTAGAGTTAGGGTTATATATATATTTTTAGAAATGATTTGGAAAATATTTGAAATATTTTAATCATCATGTTAAAACAAAACATTCCATAATTAATTTCTTTTCTTTTTTCAATTTTTCCAATTTTTCGGAAAAAAACAAAAAAGGCTCCAGGAAAAAAACGGGAAAAAACCGGTTTCCCCCTGAAGTTTTCCGTTTTTTCCCCGGGCCTTCACATCTCTAGTTGGCCTTGGCACAGACTGGTCTCCCTGCCCTTTCCTTCCCCAAAAACATGACCGGGCGGGCACATGGGTTGACAGGGAGCACTTGCGCTTTCTTGCCCGGGGGAGAGATGCAGCAGGTTCCCCACAACCCACTGCGCAGGAGGAACCCTGAACTGAGTGGGCAGCAGGCTGGGTGTGGGTGTCCGCCTTGGGCACAGGCACTGCTGGTTGTACTCCTAGGGAGGGGAGGGCTGCCTTATGTTCCCCTCCACTAGGCTGGAACGAGGACGTCAAGGGAACAGGCAAGACAGTGCATGATTTAGACTCTGTCCCTCCCTACACCTACCAAAATTAGCGCATGATCCAGCCCAAGATAAAAATTTTGCCGTAATGACATTTCAAAATTTCTAACTTTGGATGGATCATGCACTAATTTTGGTAGGTGTAGGGAGGAACTCATGCGCTTTCTTGCATGTTTCCTTAATATCCTGGTTCCAGTCTAGTGTGGGAGACCTAATGCAGCCCTCCCCACCTGAGTAGTACAACAAGCAGTGCCTGAGCGTAAGCCAGATCCGCACATCCTCCTATGGGGAACAACAGCATACGATTAACTCACTTCTCAACGGAGGGCTTTTCCACATTCTCGTTTTCCTTGCTTGTGTGTTCCTCTTACTTCGGGTTTCCCACCCACCCCATCCTGCACATGTTTTGCTCCCTCTAGAGGTCGATTTGGTATTACATCATTTTGTATCTACCATCTCTCCCTGCAGATTTAAACTGCAGGTTTTTACGCTGGACATGAAGCAATATCGAATTGAACACTAGAGGGGGGTAAAACAAAGTGAAGAACAGGGAAAAAAACCCTGAAGCAAGAGAGACACACAAGCAAGGAAATGAGAATGCAGAAAAGTCTACAGTTACTGATACCTGAAACTGTTTGACTGGATTTTTTAAGATTTTCCAATAAGGCTACAACAGAGCTAACAGAGCTACTCCTAACTGCTTCTAAGTACATTGGCTACTCAGGGGTTGTGAGCTTCTACTCACAAGACATTCTCCTCTCCATTGGAAACAATGAAGGATGGGGACACCTCCTTCTGGGGCCCATCAAATTGCACCCCCCAGTCCAATCTTTTTGAATTTTTTTTTTTTTGGGGGGGGGGATTTTAGTTGGAACACAACAGTGTTTTTGAAATTTTCTTAAAGCATCATTTCCTCAGATTGGAACTGTTATATTCTGGCAACTGAAAGGCTCTGAAAAATGAATACCTTTTGCGACTCACCATTTTTCAAATGCAATGGGGGGGGGATCAAAATGTGCAACAGAACATCATATTTTGGCAAAACCAAAACATATGTCTTTGTCCTAGTTTTGATTTCCTCCCCCCCTCCTCCTCCGGAAGAAAAAGCTATTTAGATGCAAGCCACTTTTATCAATTTTTCTCTTCCCCCCCCCCCCAATCCAAATATAGCTATGTTTGCATCGGGGCGTCAGAGAATGCGTGAGGCTAAAGGTTACATACCCAAGACATCTGCATCGGGAGCAGAGGAGGGAAGAAGAGGCGCAGACGGAAGGGGAAGAAGGTTGTGGGGAGAGGGGGGAAAAGAGAAGAGTGAGTCGGTGGTCTTCTCAGAAGCGGTAAAAGGTGCCCCTGAAATCTGACACCTCGGCAAGGGGGGGGGCGGAACAGAGGAAACCAGAGGAGGAGCCCAACCACCTTCTCTCTTGCCAACTGCTTGACAAGAGGCATTAAGGGAATCTTATTTCCACTTACAAATATGGACAGCATGCATTTAAATGTGGAAATGTTTCCGGCGCCAAAACTGGTGGTCTTGGGGGGGGGGCATTTCCCACATGATCAATTATGACAGGAGTGCTCTTGCAAAAAAATTTTAAAAATGGAACCGCCCTCCCACGCACACGCCTCTGTCCTAGATCATTCATCATGTGGCAATTGCACAATGCCGTGCTGAAAGATGTGCGCTTGTAAGAGGAGTACTGCCAGGAAAAGGGAAAGAGGGGGCAATTTGCACAGGATTATGGGAAATTCAGAGGCATCTGGGGAAAGCTGCTCTTGGTTGGTTGGTACAGATTGGAGTGACACAGACTAGTAAAGGTAAAGGTTCCCTTGCTCGAAAGCCAGTCGAATCTGACTCTAGGGTTGCGGTGCTCATCTCTGTTTCAAAGCCGAAGAGCCAGCGCTGTCCGAAGACATTTCTGTGGTCATGTGGCCGGCATGACTAAACACCAAGGTGCACGGAACGCTCTTACCTTCCCACCAAAGTGGTACCTATTTATCTACTTGCAATTTCTTGCTTTCGAACTGCTAGGTTGGCAGGAGCTGAAACTAGAGACGGGAGCTCACTCCATCATGCGGCACCCGGGTCTCGAACTGCTGAACTACTGACCTTCCACAGCCTCCAGTTCAGCGTCTTAACCACTTGAGCCACTGCAGACTAGGGAAACTTAAAAGGCTCCTCGTGCAAGCGGTGAGGGCATGCGATCGCACAGAGAATGCGGCTGCTCTCATTCCCTCCTTCCATGCCCAGGCTGCCTCCGTGTGGCAGGCAACACACAGGCAACAGAGAAGACACAGAGAAGACACAGGCAACAGAGAACCCACATGGCAGTTTCCCCCACACCTTCCTTGCCTCAGTCCATGAAGCCACCATTTCCTCCCCATTCCGCTGAAGGACTGTTAAAACAAAAAACCTCAGGGAGAATGACTAGATCATTACAGTATAATGATCCACTGCGACCGTCTACCGGTTCCTAACTTTCATTGGAAAAGTAAGTCTAGCCCTTTCCGTTGGGAAGTTATAAGGGGAAATGTTCAGCCTGCATGCTTTACCTTATAACTCTGCAAGGAAATGAGCCAGAGAATTAATTTTTTTTAAGCTGAGAATTGCAATCTACAGTGACAAAGTCATTGCACTAACAGCCATCTGTCAATTACTGATTTTTTAAAAATAGCCCCCAAAACCCTCTGGCGGTGGGGGGAATGGTGGCTTTTGGGGGGGCTGAGGTAACGCCAATGATGTTGGTAGGACCCCTTCCACCCCACAAGGCATCCAAGGACACTTTGACTGTAATCTTTCTTCAAAGATCATTCCGAACCAGGTTTAGAAGTGGGGGAAACACAGAGGCAGGGCCATTAGAAGATGGCATCAGGCGGATTCTCCTGGAAACAGCACCGATCTGACCGAGGGAGAACAAAATGTCCATGCGGAGAGAGTTCCAGAGAGACAAGATGGGCAAAGGTCTGAGTCCCCCCCCCCCAGATTTCAACACCACCTCACCTAGGCTAGAACGGGTGCTGGAGCGCTCAATTATGGTGTGTTTGCTAGGGTTGTTGAGGACCGAGCGCTTGGCCAGGGAGATATCGGCTGTCACGCGTGTGATGGATATTCTGTGGAAGGCAGAGAGAAGTGGGCATCCAACAGAACACAGACCATTCCCAAGATCATTCCCATCCCATCACGGAGACAGCTAGATGGTCTTCCCTACTGCAACACCATACAGGGAGCCCTCCTAACATAAACGTAATCACTTTGTGTTCGTCTTTTTCAAAGTGGGTTTCTAGAGCTCGTGGCCTATGAAAGGTGAAGAAGAGGGCCACTGAATCTAGCTGGGTATTAACAGAAACTAGGACCGCATTTTCCGTTTTTAAAAAAATAAAGGATTCTAGAAGAAGAAGAAGAAGAAGAAGAAGAAGAAGAAGAAGAAGAAGAAGAAGAAGAAGAAGAAGAAGAAGAAGAAGAAGAAGAAGAAGAAGAAGAAGAAGAAATTTGATTTATACCCCGCCCTTCACTACCCAAGGGAGTCTCAGAGCAGCTTACAAACTCCCTTCCCTTCCCCTCCCCACCACAGACACCCTGTGAGGTAAAAGAAGAAGAGATTGGATTTATACCCCGCCCTTCACTACCCAAAGGTGTCTCAGAGCGGCGTACAAACTCCTTTCCCTTCCCCTCCCCACAACAGACACCCTGTGAGGTAAAAGAAGAAGAGATTGGATTTATACCCCGCCCTTCACTACCCAAAGGTGTCTCAGAGCGGCGTATGAACTCCTTTCCCTTCCCCTCCCCACAACAGACACCCTGTGAGGGAGGTGGGGCTGAGAGAGCTCCGACAGAAACTAGAACAGCTCTTATCAGAGCTGCTACGGCTTGCCCAAGGTCATCCAGCCAGGTGCAAGTGGAGGAGTGGGGAATCAAACCCGGTTCTCCCAGATTAGAGTCCGCGCACTTAACCACCACACCAAACTGGCTCTAGTCCTCACAGTCTAGAAAAAGAAGGGAGAGGGGGAAGAAGCGTTCAGAAATGGATTGACTGCGCTTCTAAAGAGGATCTGTGAAAGCATTCAAGGGGCGCGGGGGTGGGGCCCACAGGGAGATAAACTCAGCCCCGTGGCTTTCATTTCCTCTGACATTTCATGAGGTTCTGAGCGCAGGAGCCCAGGACAAGCCGCGAGGATCACAGGGCGAATAGAAAGGCTCTTATTTCCCGCGCAGGCCCAGCCTCAATGGTTGCTGCTCACACCTGCCATCAAATCGGCGTTTCAGAAAATCGAACAAAGCCTTCTGCATCATGTCCGTCACCTGGGAAGGTAAGGGGGGGGGAGACAGACAGACAGACAGGAGCAGAAGTGAGTCAGAAGTTGGAATATTGCATGGAGAAAGAAAGAAAAAGAGGGCCTTTATGTGTACGGACATGGCCTGGGCACATCGGTTTGTGTACGTTCTTGATGAGACGTCCTTGGCTTTGATTACTAGGGACAGGGGTGTACCCAGTCCTTGTAGACCAGGTATGGGTGTATGTGTGTGTGTGGCGGGGTGTTTCAGTGGCTGACAGACACCGGCAGAGGTTTACACTGGGATGGCAGGTGGGGAGAGAAAAGGAAACCTGCCTTCCATACATGAACAATGAAGGTGTCATATTCTGAGCCAGCCCACTGGTCCATCAAGGCCAGTGTGGTCTACTCAGACTGGCAGCAACTCTTCAAGATCTCAGGCGGAGGGTCTCTTTAACTGGGGGAAAAAAATTAAATTATCATATGGCATTGTGCAAAACAGCCAGGAGATCCCAAAGGACCGATTGGCTGCCTGAAGCTGTAGCTCTTTTTGGGCACCACTAGGTGGCGAACTATGCTTATTTTTAGGCTGAGAGTGCTGTGACTTGCCCAAGGCCACCCAGCTGGCTTCAAGGGGGGAGTGAGGAATCAAACCCGGTTCTCTAGATTAGAGTCCGCCGCTCTTAACCACTACGACAAGCTGGTTCCCTCTTTAACTAGAGATGCCAGAGACTGAACCTGGGACTTTCTGCATGCAAATCAGGCACTCTGCCATTGAGCCATAGGTACTTATTTAAGCTTCCTTATGCTGAGTCCGACCATAAGGTCAAGTATTTCCAATTCTGACCGGAAGAGGATCAACAGGGGCTCAGGTGGAGGTCTTTCACATCACCTCGTATCCCACCCTTTTAACTGGAAATGCCAGGGACCAATGCTCCCTCTAAGCTGTGGAGTCTTGTGAGCAAAGATTCTACTTGGTGAGCTACTGGCATTAAAGCTGTGAGCGAGCGACTTGGCTACTGCATAGATTAGTTTGCTCGGGAGCCCTCCTTCCTGAGCTAAGACAAAAATCTGTGAGCTGGAGGCTAAAAAACTGTGAGCTAGCTCACACTAACTCAGCTTAGAGGGAACACTGCCAGGGACTGAACTGTGGACCTTCTGCATGCCAAGCTGATGCGCTACCACTGATCCACGGCTCCCACCCCATAAACACATAACATGTAGCTGGGCCACAACAGATTTATGACCAGAGGTGCAAAACGTGTGTGAGCGACGCAGCATGAACGCTGGAAGCCTCACCTCATAGCCCTTCAAAGAGGGACCCACTAGGATGATCGGCCGCATGGAAGGGACCACGTCGTAGGGTGGCACCTGCTCCGTCTGATGGGAAGCGGGAAGAAAAGCAAGCTGTTAGGTTTTCTCAGGGTCAACGGCCCCTAAGCGGCGCAGATACCGGTGTTATCGGGACAGAACGTTACGAAGCTGCTTCGGCCTGAAGGGGGGGCACCTTCGATTCAGGGGCGCAGGGGAGGAACCTGGGGCAGGGGTGAAAAGGAGAGAGAAGAAAAGGGTTCTCTGGGTAGCCCCCGGAGTCTCAGCCCTTTGGATCGAACTCCCATGTTTGCTTGAACGCTGGACATTCGAGATGAAAGTAACCCACCACTTTCACGGGGTTGGGAGCCATTGTCTGCCGAGAAGTTCACCAAGGGCCAATAGAGGGACGGGCTCTGGGGTTCCCACAAGCTTTGGGGTTCCAGGGTCGTCCTCCTATGGTCACTAAGCTGGTCAGGAAAAGCTCACTACGGGGGGACTGGGCAGAACCCACCGGGAACCATCACTGCCACCGGACGGATATTTCATAAGCCTACTTACCGACTTTTGCTTCTGCTTGGCTATGTCCCGTGATCGCCATTAATGGGTGGGGTGGGGGGCGCAGGTGGAGTGGGAAGGGGTGGGGGGACAGGCAAGAGAAAACAAACAAGGCATGCATGTTACTGACAGCTCACTCCAGCAGAAGCACAGGCAGGCACAGGAGAAACAAACAAACAAAGAAAAAAACCTGGCGCTGAGGACAGGGCGACTGCTTTGGAGGGGGGGCAAATTGCTCCCGTAGCTGTACTGGGGGGGGAGGTTTAGCTCCCCTGCCGAACGGCTACAAGCCTAGGTTTCGACATCGCCTTATGCAGCCCGGTCCAAAGCTGGCTCAACGTGTCCTCTCTCGCCATCTCTAGCGTCCTGGAGAACGGGCCACCACGGCGGATTGGAAGTCTGGTGCCTCTACTCTGAGGCTGCTTGGCAACCCGTCCCTTCACCCTGTTGTCCTTCTAGGTGGGACCCAAGGAAGAAAGGGAAGGCCTGCAAAGGCAGGCACTGGAGCTAGACGAGGGGAAGGTTGGAGGAGTGGCTAGGAACGTTACACCCCCCTTCCATGCTTATTCCAGGGAGGTGATGACCTTCGACATGCCCTAGTCCCACGTGCCCGTGTGGGACCATTGCTCCCCTCTCTTGCTCCCAGCTGGTTTCCTTCTGGAACGCTCAGCCATGGCAAGAGGATCGAAATGCTCCACCTGTGCAGGGAAGGACTGCTTCAGCGGCTGACGCCCACGTAAGGGAGGACGAATGGAACATACCACTTGCACATTTCTTAATGGGCAAAGGAGCAGGATAACTTTCTGGGGTCCATACTCAGGAGGACGAGCGGGGGGAGGAGGATGGGCCAGAACATCCCACTCGTATCTTCCTCGTGGGCGGCATGGCGGGGGCCCTCCCGTGGCGCAGAAGGAAGGAGGGAGGAGGGGGAAGGAGGCATACCCTGTTGGATCCACCCTTGACTAAGGGGGCCACACAAGATATGAGTTGATGGCGGGTGCTTCCGGGAGTTCAACTCATGCATGCACGGAAGGGTGCCATCACTGGAACATACCGTTAGACGCTTTGTATGCTCAAGCATGCTACAAGTGCCAGAACGTGTAACCGCTCTGTTCCCCCACGGCCCTTTGAGAAGGAACACATCTTTCATATCCCTGGGATGGGCAAACTGCCTTTCGGAGGCTATCGTTTCCTCCAGCTGAGGCACTGGCCAATGCAAATACGGCAGGCCACGGGTTCAGGTGGGCTCCCGGAGTATTGCTCTCCCTTTCCTTCCGTCCTTGGTCCCTGATGTCTCGGCAGAGACAGCCTACACACACAGACCGGCATTCCGTGAGCAGGTGGCAAGCAGGTGGTGGGAGGAGGGCGCCATTACCTTCTTAAAGAAGGCCATGCGCTTGGTGGCGGAGGGGGGCGTGGTGACGCTGCTAACGCTAGTCTTAGGGGTTCGCTGGTTCTCCTCGGCTGCCTCCGCCTCCTCCTCCTCCTCTAAGTCAAGGGCGTCGGGGTCATAAGCTAAGTTAGTCATGTCCAAGGTACCTGGGAGGGGAGAGGGTAGGGAGGGGGGAAAGGAGGGAGGTAGAAAAAAATAAGGGGGGGGAGAGAGAGAGAACACAAACTGAAAAGAGAAACAAATGAAAAGGAATGACCAAGAAAGGGTGGGGGGAAAGCAAAAATTGATCTGGGGGAGGAAACAGAAAAATAAACTGAAAGGAAATGCCTGTTTGTACCGTGTAAGCTAGTTATGTGTGCGTATCTGTGGATGGGTGATTTGGGCCGGGTTTAGGCATTCAGAGGCCTCTTTTAGGATTTCTGTGGGAGTCTGGCTGCAATCTGAGTCTTAAAAGTACTGCCGTGGTCTTTCTGATGCTTCAGACTCCCCTCGTGTCACAAAGGGCGAGGTCAGACCCCACGGCGAGGAGGGTGCTGGTCAATGCTCCCTCTCAGCTGTGGAGTCTTGTGAGCAAAAATTCAACTTTGTGAGCTCCTGGCATTAAAGTTTGTGAGCGAGCGATTTGGCTGCTGCATCAGTTAGTTTGCTCTGGAGCCCCTCCTTCCTGAGCGAAGGCAAAAATGTGTGAGCCGGAGGCTAAAAGACTGTGAGCTAGCTCACACTAACTCAGCTTAGAGGGAACACTGGTGCTGGTGGTTATCTACCGTTCGCCTTACCACTGGCAGGCGGGGTGGGTCTCCGGGTGCCCGTCACCACGTCTCCCAGACTGGAGGTGGAGTTGTCTCCCGATTTGCTGCAGAGAGAGGGACACTCAGTCAGGAAGGAGAAGGGACGCAGTGGGGCAACGGCTTGTAGCCAGGTGAGCACCGTTTGCCGTAAGCAGGTCTTTAGCTCTCGGGGAAATACACAGTATTGTTGAGGAAGTTCAACAAACAAAGGGTTTTCCCCACATTCCCAATTTCCTCGCTTGTAAGTTCCTGTTTCTTGCCGGGGTGTGTGTGTGTTTTGTTCCCTCTAATCTCCCCGTAGATTTAACAACAGGTTTTTATGCCGGACATAAACCAGTGTAATATAGAGTCAACCACTACAGAGAGAAAAACACCTGGGGAACAGGAAACCCCCCCCTGGAAGAAACAGGAACTTACAAGTGAGGAAAATGAGAAAGAAGAAGAGATTGGATTTATACCCCGCCCTTCACTTGGAGTCTCAGAGCGGCTTACAAACTCCTTTCCCTTCCCCTCCCCACAACAGACACCCAGTGAGGTGGGTGGGGCTGAGAGAACTCTGACACAAACTGCTCTTTCAGGAACAGCTGTGCCAGAGCTTGTGACTGACCCAAGGTCACATCAGCAGGTGCAAGTGGAGGAGTGGGGTATCAAACCCGGTTCTCCCAGATTAGAGTCCGCACACTTAACCACTACACCAAACTGGGAAACCCCTAAGCGGAGGTTGTACAAGTTTTCTACTGGCCAGAACCGGGGTTTCAGGACAGATCTAAACTGCAGGTTTTTATGTCAGATATAAAATGGTGTAATATCAAATCAACCACTAGAAGGAGAAAAGCACATGCTGAACAGGAAACTCCCCCCCCCCCCAAGAAACAGGAACTTACAAATGAGAATGCGGTAAAGGCCAAAGTTGTACAAGTTTCTTGCTGGCTAGAACTGGGGCTTCAGGACAGCTTTTCATGAGTTTTTCTGAACCCCATTTTTTGACTCCGTAAGTCCTCTGACGACCTTTTTCTCTGAGTCTGTTCCTCCTCCTCCTCCTCACCTTCTGCAACTTTGATTATGTCAAAATTATCCAAATTCTTCAAGGAGCAAAGCCTCTGAAGCTCCGCAAAGTATCCCATAGATTTGTAAATACATCCAGTGTTAAGAAACAGTTCCGACTGAAGAATTTAATTTATTTTCTGTTAGAATGTGTACAAGTGTAAGGGAGCCCACCTTCAGAGAATCACTCTCTGCCCACCGAATGTGTGACCTTTCCTCAGCTCTTCAGGCATGGTACCTGTCCACCAACTTCCACAAATTCCTTCCTCTACCCATCTTTTTTACAGCGGCCCCACAAGATTGCAAGGACATAAAGAGACCTGTTCCCCTTGTGTACTTCTGGATGATGAGAGGACGATGAAAGAGTGATGAACACGTGGAACTCACTGCCACAGGAGGTGGTGGCAGTTACAAGCATGGACGGCTTCAAGAGGGAATTGGATAAACATATGGAGCAGAGGTCCATCGGTGGCTATTAGCCACAAGGTATAGATAGGGATTCTGGTGCGAGGGATGCTCTGTATTCTTGGTGCTTGAGGGGGGCCAAGAGTGGGAGGGCTTCTAGTGTCCTGGTTCCACTGCTGGACCTCCTGATATCACCTGGTATTTTTGGCCACTGTGTGACAGAGTGTTGGACTGGATGGGCCATTGGCCTGATCCAACATTGGCTTCTCTTATGTTCTTAGGCCTAGGGGATGTTCGACCGGCTAACTTTCACAAAATGCCACATGTGACAGAATCTGAAAATGAGTCTTCATGTCTCGAGGGGGAGGTCTCAGCCCTACATCTGCCACTCCGCCCACACCCCAGATACCTATCCATGCACACGATCCATAAAACCTGCAATGACGTAACGGGTGAGGGCTTTCTTCCTTTTAACGGAAGGTACCAGGGACCTCTTACATGGAGAAGAAGGGCCCTGTGAGGAAAGGCTTAGGGATTTGGGAATGTTCAGTCTGGAGAAGAGGAGGTTGAGGGGGGACAGGATGGCTCTCTTGAGAGATATGAAGGGCTGTCACTCTGAGGAGGGCAGGGAGCTGTTCCTGCTGGTGGCAGAGGAGAAGACTCGCAAGAATGGGTTTAAATTATGGGTGGGAAGGTACTGGCTGGAAATTAGGGAGACTTTTTAAAAGTAAAAGTAGTTCCGTGGTGGAACCGGCTGCCTAGGGAGGTGGTGAGCTCCCCTTAAGAACATAAGAACATAAGAGACGCCTATGTTGGAACAGGCCAATGGCCCATCCAGTCCAACACTCTGTCATACAGGGGCCAAAAATACCAGGTGCCATCAGGAGGTCTACCAGTGGGGCCAGGACATTAGAAGCCCCTCCCACTGTTGCCCCCCCAGCACCAAGAAGACAGAGCATCACTTGCCCCAGAGCCCCTATCTAGACCTTGTGGCTAATAGCCACTGATGGACCTCTGCTCCATATGCTTATCCAGTTCCCTCCTGAAGCTGTCCATGCTTGTAGCCGCCACCACTTCCTGTGGCAGTGAATTCCATGTGTTAATCACTCTTTGGGTGAAGAAGTACTTCCTTTTATCCATTCTAACCCGACCGCTCAGCAATTTCATGGAGTGCCCACGAGTTCTTGTATTGTGAGAAATGGAGAAAAGTACCTCTTTCTCTACCTGCTCTTTCCCATGCATAATCTTGTAAACCTCAATCATGTCAGCCCTCAGTCGTCGTTTCTCCAAGCTAAAGAGCCCCAAGCGCCTTAACCTTTCCTCATAGGGAAAGTGTTCCAACCCTTTTATCATTCAAGTTCATTCACTGGCAGGCTTCAAGTGGGGGCCGGACAAACACTCATCGGGGATGCTGTCGGCTGATCCTGCACTGAGCGGAGGTTGGACTAGATGGCCTCTACGGTCTGAAGAGCAGGCACCCTTCTGCAGAGCCCAGGGGATCCTGGGCAGGGCGGCAACCCCCTTCCCTCTGCCTGCTCCCTCTCGCCCTTCCCCACCTGGAGCTGAGCCGGTGCTGCCTCATCTTTTGCTCCTGGATCATCCTCATGTTCTCCAGCTTGACGGGGCTCGGGATGAAGCCGACTTCGCAGCCTTCTTTCACCAGGCGCCCGATCCACCAGTCGTTGTTGTATTTCTGGAGGGGAGGGGGCAGAGATATGAGCGAAAGAGAAGAACAACTCCAGCGTATCTTGGAGGCCGTGTGCGCGTTTCGGAACGAGCGTTTCTTCCGGGCCCAGTCCTTCCTGGGCTGGCCCCGAATTGAATTAGTTTAATTATCTGTGATTTACTTAGATGAGGCCCCTTCCCCCAAAAAACCCCTAGTTATGGGGCTGGTGTGGGTGGGTGTCAGGGGTGGGGGATGAGCCACCCCTCCGATGCTGTGCCACCTCCGGCTCCATCCCACTCTCAATATGCCCCTGGTTGAAATGATAGATAGATAGATAGACAGACAGACAGACAGACAGACAGACAGACAGACAGACAGACAGACTGCCCTTACCTCTTTGATATGAAGAAAGTCTTTGGGTTCGAAAGAAATAGCCATTCCCTGGACGGGCACATCATCATTGGGAGAAGGGTTATAACCGACATTCGTCCTCACAGCAAATGCTACTGGCTTAGTCTGTAAGGGAGACACCATCAGGTGGGTAAGACCGAGGGCACAGGTGAAGGCAGGTGGAATTGTGTCCCAAAGACAACCGGAAGCCATTTTTTCCCCCAGTGGGGGGAAAGTAACTTGCATAATTTCTGTTCAGCTGCTCAGGCACTACCACCTCCTGCTCCTAGGCAAATAGATCAAACCAAGCTGCTGGACTGGTCTGGGGGCCGTTTCACATGTTACAAAGTCCACCAAGGCTCCTGTTGACCAGAAGTGTTCTGGGAGTTCCCTGCTCGGAACTTCATTCCCAGGTGCGTGGTGGCCTGATTGGGATTGGGACCAAAGCATGCACGAAGGAGAGGTTTATCCCTCTCCCTACCCGCCTGTCCCATTTTTCTGTCCTGATCTGGCCCCAGGGAGCTTCTGTTGGTCCTACTGGGGAACCCTGCTTGTTATGTATGAGCTACCCCACTAAATTAACCCAGTGAAGCAAACAGTGGCTCCCTGTGAATGTTTCAGGTCAGAGAAATGGGATGGGGCTTCAGCACCTCAGTCCTTATCTAAACCAGCCCCCGGGAATTAAGTTCCCAATAGGGGACTTCAACAAAATGTCTGCTGGCCACACGAGGGAGGCCTCAAGACTTTGTAATGTGTGGACTGGCCATCCAGGTAAGGGTCTTTTGTTTTATTTTTTTATTTTTTTAAATTCTTTTCTCAGGATAAAGATGGGATACAGAAGGGAAAAGGGGGTGGGTGGAAATATAAATTCATCAGGTTTGTCGAATAATATGAGTTGTTACGTACAACAAGTAAAATCAGATATACTACCAAATATCTCCCTTATAAATAAAAGCCGAATGGTGGTGGCACTTCTCTAGAACATTCCACACACTCCAAAATCAGTTCGCTCTCTGATCTGTCATTCAGAGGGTCTCCCTATCCACTGGCTGCTTTGCCTGAGTCCTGCCTCCAACATTCTAAATATTCTGCTGTTCCTCTCCCCCCCCCCTAGCCAGTCAGAACACAGAGGTTATTTGCATATGCAGCCTCATTGGCCTTTGCCTCGGAACACAGAGGTCGTTTGCATATGCGACTTGATTGGCTTTTGCCTCCAAAATTCTAAACAGTTTTGCTGTTCTGAGGTAAAATGTGTCCAATCTCCAGGTGAGGGCTGGAGATCACTCAGAATTACAACTGCTTTCTAGATGGCAGAGATCAGTTCCCCTGGAGAAAATGGTGGGCTCTGTATCCTTATATGCTGCTGAGGTGGCTCCCGTATGACAACCAATGTGACGTAGCAGTCAGGGCTTCAGAGCACGGGAGAGGCTGCAGGTGTGTGGGGGGTGGAAAGCTGAAGAGTGAGGGGGAAATAAAGGTAGGTTGATGATCGGCTGGGAAGGAGATAGGGTTACCAACTCCAGGTGGGAAATTTCTGGAGATATGAGGGATGGAGCCTGGAGAGGGTGAGGTTTCAGGAGGCGTGGGACCTCGGACAGGTACAAAGCCATAGACTCCAAACCAACGATTCCCTTCTGGGGAACCATCGTCACCAATCTCCAGGTGAGGGCTGGAGATTATTCAAAATTACAACTGTTCTTTAGGTAGCAGAGATCAGTTCGTTTAGAGAAAATGGTGGACTCAGTGTCATTATACCCTGCTGAGGTCACCACAGCAAATTGACACTGAGTGTCCAAGGCCGGGGCACCCGCCCAGAGCCTCTTTCTAGAGGTCGTTGTATTTATTTCCACAATGGGCCTTTTTCCTAGTATTACATATTTCAAATATAGAAGCAGACATTAAAACATCAGTTTTACAGAATTTGGGGATAGGTTCTCTCTTTAAAGAATAAATAAGAACTTTCCTAAGGTTAGGGATACTCTGTTAACAATAAAAGAAGTTACATCTTTAACAACTGAACTAACTTCTATGCTAAACCTGAATCGCTGTAAAATCCTTCATATTGTCTTAAGGGTAAGGGCCTTTTGGAATGGCTGGATATCATGCTCTGTGTCTCCCACTGGAGAACCACAGATTCCATTTGAGATATGAGCTGTGCCTACATTACTGTGGAAATTGGGTTCCATTTTCAGCTGTACAACTGAAGAAGATTGCTTTGAAACATCTGGCATACCTGGGAAGGCCGTTTTCGGCTGTTAGAAGCTTATTTGTGCTTTGGGACATTCTCTGCCTTTTTGTGGACTTTGAGGTCTTTTGGACACTATTATATTCAAGGGATGTAGAGGAGTCTCTTGTTGGATATTTTCCACTATCGTCTCATTGTATTTTGAATTTGCAAATAGTGTTTTTGAACCAATTCTACTGTAATTTCAATTTATTGTTATTGTATTGCAATAGACTGATGTCTACTGTTTACTTGTGAAAGCTGTGTATCTTTTGATGGTCTACCCTTGTGGTTTACATTTTTGCATACTGTGGGCGATTTCTCACTAGAGCTGCCTCGCAGCACAGCGCCGTTTGCCCCAACACAAACATGTCAATTTCACATCCGAGGCTGCAGGGCTGCATTTTGATTCGGGGCTTCAGCCGATTTCTTCCGCAGTTTCGTGATCCTGGTTTTTAAGGATCATGAAACTGCGGAGGAAATCGGGCGAAGCCCCGAGTCAAATGCAGCCCTGCAGCCTCGGATGTGAAATTGACATGTTTGTGTTGGGGCAAACGGCGCTGTGCTGCGAGGCAGCTCTAGTGAGAAATCGCCCTGTGTCTCCCACTGGCAGACCAGCAAAGAGAAGCAGTTTAAAAGGAACTACACAACAGGTCCCAGTATGAACTTAATCCCCACCCCACCCCACCCCTGGCCGGCCCCCACACCTAACCTGAGACTGCAGGCCACAGACCGCCGCAAGATTTGCTGAGAAAGGCAAGGAGGAAATTGCCTGGCTTGAAGCCCAGGCCTGAATACCGAGGATGCTCTGGGTTCCTCACCCCACCCCCACCCCCGCCACGACCCTTGTGGAGCATCCTGGCAGGAAGGCGCTGGACCAGATTCAAGAGACCAAAATGCTTCAGGCCTCTGGACTGCGCAACTGCTGTGCCCCCAGGCTGTGCCAAGTGCCAGAAAAGGGGGGGGTGGAGAGCTTGGAGGTTAATTAGCTAATTGCATCCATCGCAGTAAGGAGCCTCTAGCCAAAGTGGGGACTGCTGTGCCAGAGATGGAGGATGGCTCGAACTGGGGGGTCCAAGCGACGGTTCCTCTGCAGAAAGGTCCCCTGGGACGTTCCCAACACCTGGGAAACCGCACAGGTATTGCCCACTGCGGACTCTGGCAACACCTCAGTTCTGGGACTCTGCCCTCTCTGTCCTACTGGAGCCATCAGTTCCCACCAGCCCCAGCCCCCCCCCCCCCCCGACCACTGTGACCCTCCCTTCCCATGCAGGACTTCCGATCGATACGCTCTAAACTTCTCCAAGGCATAAAAACACCCCAGGAACCCCGAGTGCCCTCTTGTCCGGGAGACACCAAAACAAAACGACAGCGAACAGCCAGTGGAGTCCGCTTTGCCCTCTTTCACCTACTGCTGCTGAAGGCCAGGGCCGGCCCAGGAACCCGAACACCGCTGTTGTGCCTCCGCTGGTCTCCGGCACCGCCTTCCACGCTTCAAGAATCAACCCACCTCCCAAGCAGTGCTCCCTCTAAGCTGTGGAGACTTGTGAGCAGGGCTATTTTTGGGCAGGAACGCACAGGAGCGGCGTTCCGGCTGGCTCCCGAGTTGGCCACGCCCAGCAGGAGATCATTAGCATAACAGGCCACACCCAACAGCAGAAACTCATTCGGATTGGCTACATTAGGGGTGTGTGGCCTAACATGCAAAGGGGTTCCTGCTCCAAAAAAAACCCCTGGGTTTTGACAACAAACAAGGTAAACAGAATAAGAAGCAAAAGGTGGGTGTGGCTGGGTGAGCACACTTCTGGTAACATGGCCTAATATGCTAATGAGCTGTACTATCAGGGGTGTGGCCTAATATGCTAATGAGTTTCTGCTGTTGGGTATGGCTCATTATGAACTCATTAGCTCATTATGCTAATGAGTTCCTGCTGGGCTTTTTCTACAAAAAAAGCCCTGCTTGAGAGCAAAAATCCTACTTTGTGAGCTACTGGCATTAAAGTTGCGAGCAAGCAATTTGGCTGCTGCATAAATTAGTTTGCTCTGGAGCCCTCGGTCCTGAGCGAAGGCAAAAATGTGTGAGACGGAGGCTAAACGACTGTGAGCTAGCTCACACTAACTCAGCTTAGAGGGAACAAGCTACTTTCTGAATCTAAAGGGAACAGAAAGGGATTCCTGCCTTCCAGCCCCAGTTCTAAGGGACGGCTACTGGGGGGATGGGGGGGGTAGGGTTGCCAGCTCCAGGTTGGGAGACTCCTGGAGATTTGGGGGTGGAGTCTGGGGAGGACCGGGAGCTCAGTGGGGGACCATGTCACAGAGTCCGCCCTCCAAAGCATCCAGTGGGGGATGAGCTGTAATTCCAGGGGATCCTCAGTGTTCCCTCTAAGCTGAGTTAGTGTGAGCCAGCTCACAGTTTTTTAGCCTCTGGCTCACACATTTTCGTCTTCGCTCAGGAAGGGATGCCTCCAGAGCAAACTAATTGATGCAGGAGCCACCTCTCTCGCTCACAACTTTAATGCCCAGGAGCTCACAAAGTAGGATTTTTGCTCACAAGACTCCACAGCTTAGAGGGAGCATTGCGCTCCCACCTGGAGGCTGGCATCCCCATGAGGTGGGTGGCTTTTCTCCAGCTGGCTCGGTGCCCTTTGTTGTGGCTGCGGTGCTCGCCACGGAAACACGCCAGCAGCGAAAGAACTCGTGTAAGGGCCGTTTGCTGAGTGCTCGCAAGGAAGGGTTGGGGGCTTGCCAGCCCACAGCACAGTCCCCTGGCGTTAGCCGTGTTTCTTTACAGGACTCCTTCACTTAATAAAGACGACAGCCGAAGCCTCTTCCTCCCTCATCTACCTCCCCGATGGATAAATATTACTGTGCCATTAGCCAAATTAATTTACTGTTGCCTGGCCAGCCTGGGATTTATAGGTGTCCGCAGGCTGGAGCCAATCGCGAACAGGACAGAGAAAAACTTGCATG